CCAGATGTGAGCTAAATTACGAAGGCACCGGTGGTCGAACGTAACTAGCCTATTCAGGTGATAGTGTGTTAACGAAGGTTAGCTTTAGGAGAAACGGAGTAATGTCAACACACCTGGTGGCGCACAAGAGAGATGTAGCTGCATTTTGGTACAAAAGCCAGTAAACTTCATCGATGTCATGCCTCTGAATGATCAAACGCAAGAGCTATGCAACTGTGCAACCCGAACCATGGATTATATTTTCATTTTTCCAGTTGCTTTAACAAGAACATCTCATTGCAGCGGTTCTCAGAATGGGGCTAATTAACCGGCGCTCACTGGATGCTGACATAAATATAACTGCTAACTGATGGGACAGTAGTTGGGTTTAAGTACCAATAAACATGGCGGGTGTTCCAAACAAGATTCCCTTTAAACACCTTCCTACTCAACTGAGTTATAACAACTGGTGATTCCTAGGTCTGAATGGATACATATACGCTGCAGTTTGATAGTTGAGTTGGTTGGAAGGCTTAGATTTAAGATCCCTATCTTTGCAGTTAGAAACTCATTGGTTGCCTATGCTTCAACACCTATCCTGCGAATTTTTGCGTTTCTTATTTCCTTATGCATAATATGAGAATCAAACACTGTCTTTGAAGGCGGTGGAGCTAAAAATTTTCCTTCGTGGTTTGCCACTACTTGTCAAACACACGTGCGTATACAAATGGGCGACTCAGACGCTGCTTCATTTCGACGCCACCAATATAAGACATTAGGCATACGTCGTCAATCTACCTGCGAGTGCGGGCTGGGAGATCAGGTTTTTCAGCGGGCTTCTACTGAGTTCGATCCACTTGTGACAGTACGAGAGGATCTTGACTATACGCGTCAAGCTGGAAGCGACAAAATCACTTACCAACGCCTTGGCCTTTTGAGGAGAGCATGCGGGACATTTTGACCTTCCCATCATCTCCCAGATGCTCAACGCCTACATTAGGCCTCCTTCGGAATGCACGATCCAAGCCTGGCTGCCCTGGCACAAACACAACCTGGTAGGGCTGGAAATATTACAACAAAGGACGAGCAAGTGCGTAAAGGGTTTGTTTCATCTTCCCTACCAAATGAGGCCTAAAAGCCTTTACGTCCACAGTAGAAAATATCGACGCCTGCATGACAATTTGATAGCATAATTGCTCCTGAGGAAGTTAAAGTATGCTTTCGTCGCCTTCTACAGCTGAATCACAACAGCAACCTGACAAGTCACCAGCTGAAGTTGACCACACAGTATAACCGGTTGGATTGTCGCCGGAATTTCTTTTCACTTGGAACGCCTTGGAAAGTCCTCTCCACTTACGTAGTCAAGTCTCATACACTAATGGTAATCAAAAGATGTCTTGGTGGTTCACTCATAAATCTACAGTACGCCATATGATTATCTATGTCCTTGCGTCAACCTAACACTACCAATCAACGTGCATATTTGCACTTTCTGCACTTCACTTGTAAATCGCTGATACTAGGGAATGTCATAATGATGCTTGATTGAATCACGGGAAATGCTGTTCTTCAGCAATCCGAAAAGTTCGATTTAACAGAATGAATCAAGCGAGGTAGAATCCAAGTAGAAAAGATGTTCGGTAATTCTCAACGGAATCAAACATTGCATGATAACGACAAAGTGCTAAATGTGCCGAATTCGGCTGCGTATTGATCAGAGCATTTAATTCCAAGAGGAACAAATCAATAAACCACGGGGTCATTGAAGGTGAGAAAATATGTTCAGGGGAAATCACAGCTGAACTCGTAGGCCACGGTAGAAGTAAAGGAAGTACAAACTGTTTTGGTCCGCACAATTCCGGCTTGAGGTGGCGGATGTAGATACCTTCCGCAATAGACAGTAGATGTTTCCGGAATCCGCTCGAGAAATGTTCAGGGATAGTAGAACCGACTCTGAAATCGTTTTCCATCCCTGCGTGACAGCACTCTAGAAGGTGCTACAGGATGGAGCTGTTGCTAGACCTGGCTTCGTCTTTGTAAACCCACTTTGGGATGTGTTCGCCATTCCTATGAGATAGGCGCCTCCTAGTACGACCCACTTATCGTGCAACACAGAAGCACGAGTACAGATAAACTCGCATTGCTTGAGTCACCAAAGACAGCCTGTCTTTCAAAGGTTTTGCGAATAGTCTTGTTGTAGTATACTATGCGTAGGCGAGCCGCGAAACAAGTTGTGCTCCTATGGTGCACGATAAGTGGGTCGTACTAGGAGGCGCTTATCTCATGGGATTCGCGAACTCATCCCAAAGTGGATTTACAAAGACGAAGCCAGGTCTAGCAACAGCTCCATCCTGTAGCACCTTCTAGAGTGCTGTCACGCAGGAATGGAAAACGATTTCAGAGTCAGTTATACTATCCCTGAAGGTTTGTCGCGCGGATTCCGGAAGCATCTCCTATCTGTTGTAGAAGCTCTCCATATCCACCACCTCAAGCCGGAATTGTGCGGACCAAAACAGTTTGTACTTCCTTTACTTCTACCGTGGCCTACGAGTTCAGCTGTGATTTCCCCTGAACATATTTTCTCACCTTCAATGACCCCGTGGTTTATTGATTTGTTCCTCTTGGAATTAAATGCTCTGATCAATACGCAGCCGAATTCGGCACATTTAGCACTTTGCCGTTATCATATACTGTGAGTCTAATGAGAAGTACAGAAAAGAATTTTGTACTCAGATTCTGCCTCCCTTGATTCATTCAATTAAATCGTAAGGATGCGCCCAAGCTTGATTTACATATCACTTCGGTCCAAGGAAGTGGTACAAGAACGAGTGTTTTCATTTCAAAATTTTCGTGGTGCTCACGGAATACGCCAAATATAACTGCCCACAATATAAATTTGTGCGTACATTTAAATCCCATTATAAGCGATTGTTATTCGGCAGTGATTCCAAATCGGTAGACCATTACCTTGCAGGTCTCATTCCAACCATCCTGAAGGACATTTTAATCAACTTTTCAGCCGGTGATATATCATCGTCCACTTTTTACTTTCTATGATATAAACCCACCATACTTCATCCGCTATCAAAGATGGTAATAGCGCTTGTACAAATGACATCGTGGAAATAATATTGAATGTTCCACAGTGGTTGCTGTTCCGTCGAATCTTCCGACCGAGGTTCCAAAATCAAGCCGGAGACTGGCAACTACCCACAGATCTTCATCCCCAGGAATTCTATCAGTGTCTATATTTCTCATCCTATGAAATTCCATTTTTACAGGTTGACCATCAGCAAACGGCTTTTAGGACCATTATCTACACTGACACGTAGTCGTCTCAGATGTTCATACAGAATAACTACACCCATATTGGATTGTCGAAATCTTCGACACGACTCACACATGGGAGTCATCAGGGAAAAGCATGGAGACTTCCAGATTCGGGAGCTACCAACCGACCTCTGGTGTAACAAAATCGGCTAACCGGCAAATAACCCAGAACAATCTGGAATACCATGCGTGGTAAACAGCTTGCCCCTTTGGTCTTAGTTGTCACCTTTATGTGGCATGTGGTGTCCCACAAGGCTCAGTGCTGGGACTGCGCTTGTTCCTGGTGTTTATCAACGACCTGGCAAGAGTCATCTCAAATTTCCTGCTATTCGCCGATGACGTCAGTATATGGCAGGCGATCAGTAAAAATGAAGATCACCATCTACTCCAACACGACTTAGATTGCATATATGAATGGTCAAAGGGGAACGCGCTTCAGCGTAACATAGCTAAGTGCAAGGTCATCCATCTGCGTCACCAGCCGGTGAGCGCTTACAACTTTGGAGATCACACCTTGCAGTAGGCTTCTCAGGAGCATGACCTGGGTGTACTGGTACAGGAAGATCTCGGATGTTCAAAACAAGCAGAGAGGGCAACGAGAACCGGCAATCAACACCGATCTGCCTCGCAGAGCCTTCGGTCAGTTTGAACCCTCAATCTTTCCCCAAATGCTTAAGGACAAGGTGCACGCGTACGTGGAATATGCTATCCAGGCGTCGCAACCTTGCCAGAAACAAGGTCTCGTTGCTCTCGAGAGTCCTTAACGAATGACAACCAAGAACGTCAGGGGCCTCTTTCATCTGCCCTATCAGCTTAGACTGAAATCTCTAAGAATGTACAGCAGTCGATATCGGCTTTTGTCGGGGGGAGGGTCTGATAATGGTTCACCAAATTCTGAAGAACTCAAACCACATTTTCCGTCCGCTGCAGGAACTGAACCACGACACCAACATAAGAGGTCATCATCTGAAACTGAAAATATAGTATGGCCGGCTTGAATGTTGTAGAAATTTCTTTTCCTTCCGTGTGTACCTGCCTTGGAACGCTCTCCTTAACTATGTCGTTTCTGCTCCCAATCTGGTGGCATTTAAAAAACCAGTTGACAATGCATTGTCACAGTTGCACTTCATTTTATAACTTTTAGCTAGGGGGTACAAAATGCAATCAAACGGGATCTTACCAAACACCCAACCAATGAGTTTATGGATGTATACTTTTAATACGCAAACATCTCCGCTATAATATATCGGTCTAAATTAAGTCCACCAAAACGTAACAAGTTCCATCCTATGGGACTTGTTAAGCATTGCTTTTTTCCCCTTAATACATCATTGTTCCATTAGTATCGCACAGCAGGGTATATTGTACAATGGATGCAAATCCACATCTGATCCAAGAGTATAAGACACGCAATCGGGTCACGTGGTAATCGCTCAGCTTATCGCCTCGATTAGTTTTCAACTGAACAAGTAGGACCGCTTCTTTCTTTACTCACCAGTTGTCGAGGCGAAAATCTGGCGTACGTCGAATTCCTGACTGATATCTGTTACGTAAACATCTCCCCACTTAACTGGGATAATATGTTCGCTGCGAAACTACTGATAGTTTTATGCACCTAGTAACAACTGTGGCTTTGGTGCTGTTAACAGAAACCACAATGGACTGCTTTTTCAACAATAAAACGAAACTGTGTGCGGAATACGTAGTATAGAAAACTATTATGATTTGATTCAGCAACCCATAGTTTATCCTGCAAATCCACAAAAAATTTCAAGGGCTGGTTCGAGCAGGGTTGATGTCATGTGCGATATGTGGAAAAAGAACTCGTTTCTAATCGGTGCGACAAAATGGGAAAGTGCAACAGGTTTGGTTTGGGGCGTCCAGCGTTCTTGATCTTCTTACGGTATATGCAAAATCTGCTGTTTTGCGAAGGATAATACAGAAGGCCTTGACTGAATACCTGAAGTAAGTCGTTGGAGAGAAGAGCTGTAGCCACTGTAATCACCGGCGCATCAGGTTCGTCAACATGTCAATTGGTAGTGGGAAGATAATCGTGGAGTTTCTTTCCGCTGATATGGCACTTAGTGTTTGCAAATATCGCAAATGTAGGGCAAATGGAGAAGTCTTAAGAACGTCGGCCGCTTGCTTCAGTGCGACTGAGGATTTTTCTTCTCCCTCTGCTGCAATGACCTGTTTGGCAAAGAGAAGTTGTTTGTGGGTTACAACGCGGTATCGGCCAGGCATATGAAAAAATGGGCGCCGAATAGCCTCAATGGATTGGACTTAACTCTATGAGCGTTATATAAAACAACCGACATGGGATATTTCATTGCGTTAAAGCGTGGTGTTTCATAGGTTTATCACTTGAGCGGTCTGGCGGATATCGTGCTTCTATATTCCATTATGATTCAGTTGATCCAACGCAGATAATACATCAAATGGCTCGAAATTCGTGCTTGTGTGTACAGTGTTGCAACACAACGCTAGTATATCGCTGTGGGTTGTGAATAAAGGATTATTCTGCATGATTTCAGTCACCCACCTTGGCCCGAGCCTCCCTCGTGGCCTCAGCCTCCGCGGCCATTGCACGTTGGAGTTGGACAGGAAGGCGGACATCCTTGCTGTAACGGATTGAAGCAAATGTAGGAGAAAGCTGACGTATAATGGATATGATTTATACTCGTCTTCAAGTAAAACAAACTGCACTCATTACAGTGCGTCGGTATAAATCTGTAAAACCTACGCAAACCATTTAAAAAATGAGCGTGGTTTTACAAACAGATAAAAAATAAACCGGCCAGAACAAAGCCACGCATTGGTAGAAGTTGAAAGGCTAAATTTTCGCACTTCGACGCTCAGGCGACTAGCATCATTTCCGAAAGCGAAGCTCTTGATGGACACTTACGATGATTGAAGTAGACTCGATGTGGCGAGTTAAGCACAGCCTGTGTTATCCGCATACAACTGGTGTGTTCTCAATCCCCACCTCATAAAATACACCACACATATTCCTTGCAATCAGCCATGCCGTAAAAGTTTCTATTGACATCACGTTTTCTCATAATGTCTGACTCGGATAAGCAAAACCCCATCATCCGTTTCATCTAGATTTTTCATGTTGGGCTTGGCCAGTCAGTCAGTGTTATAGACGTACGGCGTCTTTGCTCTGTTATCAAATTCACTTAAGTTTGCTGGTATTAATTCCCGCATTTTGACATAATCAAGATGGATATATCACTGGACATCTATGTCGAAGTAGGCAGCCCAGCTTACTTAGGAGATTTGTGTTGTTTGGCGTTGACGCTTGTTTTGAAGTTAAACCAAGATCCAAGATCCGAGTCAGTAAACAAAAGAACGAAAGACGCTCTAGCACATGACACACCGACAATAAGAACAACCAGTATGGCAAAATACAACGTAAAAGAAATGCGGGAATCACAATGTTCGGCATGCCCCTGTACGAATCCGGTGGGCCGTCGCAACTGACACGTCAATTGAATATAAAAACGATTACGAGCACTCAGATTCCATTATTTCCCACACTTATAGCTTGCGCCTCTTAGATCTATGCAACCGTCCTCTAGTAAGTGGTACGTGGAGTAGAAATCGAGTACTTGGGCACGCTAGGCGGTTTGCCAGTTACTTACAGGGCTGTTTTGAGCTAGAGTTAGTGTTATCCCCGTAGGAAAATCGTCTTACCTATTTCATGAAACAGCTTCACAGCCATCGCCAACTGCATATACATATGAATACAGGTACTATAGCGGGTAAAGCTAGGATACATACATACATTTGACACGTTATCTTCAGGTGAAAAACACCTCAGCTATTGTGCCACAAAAGCTCGGATGAAGTTTAGGTCAATACAATAAAACCGCAAGTCGAACACGCAACGGACTGAACCAAAGTGGTCAACGTATTCTGGTGCTGAGCATACAGAGGTCTGGACCCATAAGTTTTACATGGTGAACGTTTACCCAATGAAAATAGGTCAAGATAGTGAGGTTGCCAACTTCGGAGGGCTTACTGTATCTAATAGAAATTGTTATCGTTAATGGAAGTTGCTATTAACCAAAATTCAATATGAACGTTTATAATATATGCAAGTATAGTTTATAACTGGAAGCACTCTATATTCCTTGACCCTGGATGTTTCACTGGAAACCTGAGCATATAACCCACACAAGAAATAGCTCGCAGCTAATTGGATACTTATTCATGATCTATTCAGGGCTTCCGTTAGACTGACGTTGCCAAATGTTGGTCGCTAGTTGAGCTAGTACGAAGGCCGAGTTATGGGTTGTGACAAAACTTACACCTCCACTCTTTCCACCTTGACTCCCCAGGGATCGGTCGCGTCGTCAAGCATAGTCTGAGAAAGGAAAGGAAAAAATGATTTTTGCTTTTTTCTTAGATATCTTAACGGGATCAATGAATCTCTTAAGTTTGGCGATATATTGCGTTACATACCTGTTGTGCTTGGCGGTGAACAGACTGGAGTATCGCAAAGACGATGCAATTAAAGTGGGGGGAAATTGAGCGTACTTTATTGCCAACTCAGTGGGATATGAAAGGTGCAAACGACTAGACTACTTGTGCACGTGTTGAAAGTGGTAGCACAGGTGCTGAGGGTCAACGTTCCTCGTCTTTTCTACATAGCTAACCATGTTAGAACACATAAAAATCTCTCACCTGAATTAGCACTGGGAATCCTTAAAATTTTAAAAAGTATACCGTCACTATAGGTCGTAGAAATCACAAGGTTTCATTGATGTATTTTTAAAAATGCAATCGGTCAACTTGCAACGAAATCAGAAAGGAGCATTGTCGAACCTGAGGCATCGTCCATGTGAAACAGAATTGCTTTCTGAAACACTGCACTTGCAATGAGCTCGCGTTTGCTTCGTCGATGACCTGGCCACTCGTTGATACACTTGGAGTCAAAACACCTCCATTGTTGATCATTGAGAAGCATGGCATACATCAGATTGCGGGTTGTGAATTGAGGACTGCGAAACGTCTTCAAAATCCTACGGGATAACTCCAACCGTGTATTGTCCGGTTACATTCGTACACTATGAAGCGGTGAAATCCCTAACGCATTCCAATTTGCAAGATAAAATCGAAGTTAAGCTCTGTTGAGACAACCGTTACGCATAATATTTATGTTCAGTTGTCTCCAAACCGATCAAGCATGCTGAACACAATCGGATTCATTCAAGCCAAAATATCACAGAATATTCGACCAAAATATTGGAATCTCCGCAGATCTGTCTATGCTATTTCATACAGCAGTCGCTTCACTGTTGATTGTGGCACACAGGAACCACCTGCATTGGGTGTGAATATTGATGATCGGTTCCTTTTTATACACTGATAAAAGCGTTATTAGAGGTTGTGAACGGAGTCGACTGAAACCTCAAGAGCAGAAGTGAAACGGAGTATACCGCGAGAAACTTCCTTATATGCATGTTACGCTGCGGTGGTTTGATTTTAGTAAAAGCTTTTAAACACGTGTTCCACTCCTTTTTGATTACAAAGCTGGTGAGTTTTAGCAATCCCCGACGCAAACAAAGTGGGAAGCATAACCAAGACCCAGACCAGCAGACTTAGTGGTTCACAGCATCGATAGCTTCAACATTGATTGCTGATTTGCTAGCCGTTTACTACCATGTTGTACAATGCTCACATCCGAGTGAGACGGATTAAAATGCATGCATTTGAGACCTGCTGTTGAACTTGAAGAAGCTCCAGTTGGGTTGACAGCATTGCTGCCTCTACCTTACGAGTGCAAACAATTAAGAAACCAGTCATGGCTGATTTTGTTGCCAGGTGGTACCTTTTGACAATTATCTACTTCCAATCAGATTATTGCTTATTGCACAGGCCGAGTCAGTTGGTGATATTTTTAACTAAACTTCTTTGAATTCATTCACAACTCCACCGCAATGAAGAATTAGTCATTTTTGATTACAAATGCAGGCTCATGAAAGATCGTGTGCAATAGATACATCACATAAACTTCTATTAGTGTTTTCAGGGAGGTTACGCTGTGAAGACCACAGAGCCATTCAACTCAGACCACTCAGCTTGCCTCTAAGTGCGTTGCAGACAGTCAACTACTTATAAAGAGATAACTCGTACGCGCGTTTTTAAATCAGGGTTAACTGATCGATTGCTAACTGTGACAGATATACGGACCGGTAATCCGTATGTCCGGGGTTCGATTCTTCGTCGAAATAGATTATTGTGCAAAGTTTAGTCGGGACTTCTACTTTCTACAAAAAATTACACTACCCAAAAAACCACCAATAATCTAAATACTAGCTAGTAGCAAAGCTACACCCAAATATCAAGGCTGGCAAGTGACAGTACATCAGGTTAAGATCATCTTTTATTTTTTGTTTCCGATTCAACGAAGCCGAAGCCGATCACGAGAGAGCGTACTTCATAACAAGCAGTATCACAGAATAAGCTTAAAACATACTGGGGTAAACATAATAGGTTGAAAATTTCAACACCGATTACAGGAATTAAAATAATCCAATGGTTGAAAAATTTTAGCGCATCTCACTTCCTGTCGCCAAATTCTATTGCTGAGCGTAGTATTCGAGTATCATGGTTAACTAAAGATTAATATGCTGTGTTTTAAGGAGCATATCTGTCTCAATTTAATCATTGGAATTATTCGCAATCAATAGTTCATGGGAGTGGTGTGCATTGGCTCCAAGTGCCTACGGCCAAGAAGCATGCACCGTCTGTTGTACAGTCCCTGCTAACTCAAGAAGAGGCAAACTGAATCCTCCACTGAGGTTCATACGTCGGGTAAGCGCAGATCAATCGTAAAATGGCATAGAGTTGGCTGACGTCATCTAGGTATTTAATACTTCATTGTGCGCGTTTCCAAATTATATGTTAAAATGCATAATGTATGGCAACCTGGGACTCACCAACGTGAGACATCATTGTCAGCGTGCAATCAATCCAGGAAGGTAACACTGGAGTAATACACATCCAGCAGTTTTTTGAATCGTCGCACTTCATTTTCATCCACTACGTGTCCCGATGAATTGTCTCACAGGTTGACTAATCGCCCTTTGAGTAACTCTCCCCGGATCTAGCACCCCAAGTTTGTACTGGTGTCAGCTTGTTCTCTTGAGTGTCCGCAGGTAGAGCAGCAGCCTTTGCAAAAGGAACTCACCAAAGTAGGTCGTGATGATGTCTGCTAACACCTGACGCTACAACGATGTGTAAGTCCGAGTTTCTCGCGCTGGTCTTCGTACGACATAGCCAGTAATATGGGGATGAGCCACATAGCAACGTCTTCTACTCGTCCAATCTTTTACGCGCCACCTCAAGAGATTGAGCAATAGGCTGACCAACCGTACCCTAGCGATGAACTTATGATGAAGGAGATGGGGAAATCGGCAACCGCCTGAGCGAATGTATTGTTTCAGCTTTATTTAGTACAGTGCGCCGAGAACAAGGCCTTACGGAGTTCCACACTAAAGGGATGACAAGATGCGACACAACTAGATACAGAAAACATAGCATATAGGTAACTGCATGTCAGTCCAGGAGTTGTCCAAACGCCGTGCGTGTCTGCTTATTAACCAGTCGTTCGTTACGAGGATAAAAATGAGCATTCATGAGTTAGGCTGCACACACACAACAGGAACGCCAGAATAATATGGAGGCACTACCACACACTTTCATAGCTCGGAAAGTCAAGGTTGTAAAACACCCAGGGATCCACCAGTACAATCAACCGGACAGTCACACAGAACAGAAAGATTGGGCTGCTACAAGTCTTGACAGCAATTGCTGAAGTTTATCGTCATAAAAGCGACACAAGTTGCAATATTTTGCTCGCCGGACAATTCCACCGATGAAGTGAGCACGGTTTTAACAACTGTGCACGTTCTCGCGTAAAAGTTGTGGGGAAAAACAGACACCTGTCAGCTGAAGAGTTGTGGTGGTGGGCACACCGCAATGCCGCATCAAGCAGTCTGGACATTAACACGAACCCAGTTCAGTTAGTTCTTAACCCACCCCCCACCCATACCAAAATTTAGTGATTCGAAAAGAAAACCCAACACAGGAACCATAGACCCATGGAAAGATCGCTATCCACATCATGTGCTTTGTGATTAATGGGCAGATAAGCCTTCGTTTGCAATGTCCCAATGCTGCTCTAATTCCTGCTTGTGGTTCAGTTCTTGTCCTCAAAGCCACAGAGATAACAAACCGCGTGCAAATTAAAAAGTCGAGATTAGGATGGACAGGACTTCCGCAGTACTTAAAAACAAGTAAATAACATATCACCTTGTCAAATCTTCGAACTGCTAGTGGTTCAATGTGCCTAAAACCAAGCATTTTTTGATGAAGAGGTTAAAACATGCCCATGGTAATTAAGTTCCTTGGGACTCCAGTTCGAGGGTAGAAGCGAGGCTGGCTCTGTAAGTTCATAAAAAAGGCTCTCTGCAGCCCATTGTCAAAAACGTGCCAACTTGCGGTCCGGTTTTTGAAGAAAAGACCTTGGTTGAGAACATTAATCGCTGGACAATCTGAAAGCTTCCCGCACATGCAATACATTAAAAATAGTCTTCAAACCATTTCTTGGTGTTCTGGTCGCCGCAGAAGTTAATCAAAGGCGCCCTAACTGCCGTACTAAGCAGGGTGGATAGGGGTTTGCACATTAATGCTCAAGACTTCCTGTCTTCTTATTCAGCCTTTTTCGCTTTTGCACCATTATCACACTTCCAAATTCACTTTCATCCCCGCTGCTTCCGTCCCAAATGCTCGGCTGTCCCCAACCTTCGCTTTGTTAGGAGTTTATCCTCTATACTTCCAACTTACAAGCAAACTTGTATCGTCACTCCTGCCCTGTCGACAAGCCCATGTTCAACGACTTCTATTTAGAGCCCAAGATTTTCTCTCTGACTGGCACGTCTCAAGGTACGCAATACTTGCAGATCAGTCAAGAGGCAGCACTTGCCCGAACATTAGATACACTATCGATCGATATATGCTGTGTATCGGTAGCCCGACTGCAAGACTTGAGTTCTGTGCTCGTTCTGCGATCCCCTTCTGGTGAAACTAGCAGAGCTTTCTCACTGCGTCTATCCGGAGACGATACAGCTTCGAGTGTGGGTCAAACCGATGTAAGTGCTACTCCTAATCCCCGGGCTGAAGTTACCTGATCAATTGGACCTCCATCAACAACCGGATTTGCGCCGTTAGATTGGCTGGCTCATTGAAAGCTTCGAAGTCGCCTGTCCGCCATTGTCGTCTACACATCCACAAGATATAGCGCAAATTTTGGTGGAAGAATACTTCTTTCATCAACTAAACGAATCCTTTCATCACAGC